CCTCACCCGGGAAGAGCGCAATGATGGTGCCAACTTGGGCCAGTGAAGCAACATCCTCCACAACTAGATTGAAGAACAAAAAATGACAGCAACTTGTCTGTTCCCCTTTCCCCAATTCCCCAGCACTGTTCCCATCCCCCCAATTAAAAAAAACCAAAAAAATTAAAAGGAAATCTACCAAATGGGAGACAATCTACAAATCATATATCTGATAAGGGGCCACTATCCAAAATATATAAAGAATTTATACAACTCAATATAAAATAAATAATGTGATGAAAAAATGGGCAGAGAGTCCAAACAGACATTTTCTACAGACATACAGATAGATGGGCAACAGGCACATGAAAAGATGCTCAACGTCACTAATTGTCAGAGAAATGCAAATAAAAACCACAATGAAAGTCACCTCATACTTGTTAGAATGGCTATTGTCAAAAAGACAAGAAATAACAAATGCTGGTAAGGATGTGGAGAAAAGGGAAGCCTTGTACATTGTTGGTGGGAATGTAAATTGGTGCAGCCACTATGGAAAAGAGTATGCAGGATCCTCAAAAAATTAAAAATGGAACTACCATATTATCAGAAATTCCACTGCTGGGTGTTCATCCAAAGAAAATGAAACCACTAACTAGAAAAGATATATGCACCCCCATGTTCAATGCAGCATTATTTATAATAGCCAAGATATGAAACAAAAGTTTATATAAATAATGGAATTTTATTCAGCCATAAAAAAAATCAAATCTTGCCATTTTCAACAACATGAATGGACCTTGAGGGCATTATGCTAAGTAAAACAGGCCAGACCAAGAAAGAGAAATACTATAATGGTATCACGTATATATAGAATCTAAAAAAACACAAAACATCAAACTCATACAAACAAAGAGTAGAAAAGTGGTTGTCAGAGTCTGGAGGAATAGGGACTAGACTTTGGTAAAAGGGTACAGACTTTCAGTGATAAGATGAATGAGGTCTGAGGATCTCATAAAACATGGTGACTACAGTTGATAACTATGTTGTTACACTGTAAAACTGAAATTAGCTAAGCAGTAGATATTTAATATTCTCACCAAAGGAAAAAAACATATATAAATATGTGGTGATGAATGTGTTAATTATCTTGATGGTAGCAATTCTTTCGGTGTATATCAAATCACCACAGTGTACACTTTAAATCTCTTATAATTTTGTCAATGATAACTCAAAAAAGCTGAATTAAAACAGAAAATGAAGATCATTTTCATATTAAAAAATAAAAGTATGAGTTATTAACAAATATGTGAAATGTAAAGTCCTATAGGACTAGATTAGATCACCTAGGGAGAAAGGATAAATACAGAAGAAAAAGAGCAAGAACTAACCTCTGGAAAAATCTCACAGGAATAGATCATAAAGTCATAGATCATAAAGCCAGAGTGTAAGAGGGACCACAAACAAGTTTGGAGGGAAACCAGAGGATGTGTTAGATAAAGATGCTTGAGAAACTATTTCCAGGAGAGAATATTGTACATTGTCAAATGCTCCTGAAAGGTCAAATAAGATGGAGACCAAGAATTGATCATTTTTTTAATGATTCTCTTTAGATTTAGGGCATATCTTTGAAAAATGAAATTTTCCTTAATAGATGCTTTTATCTCAGTCTTCTCTGAAACAAAAAAAAAAAGCTCTGCAGCTTAAAATACAATTCAAGAAAGAAATTTTACTTCTTTACTAGATGGCAGGCACTGAATTAAACCCTAGTACACAAAAGCAGCTAATGTTCTATTCTCTGGAAGTTCAGTCTTTGTAAAATTATTCTGAATAAAAAAGCTATTTATTTACTTGCTTATTTATTTACTTACGTAGCCTATTATTTTGATTATTGGAAGATGAACCTTGGATTAGTGAATTCTTAAGTGATGTTTAGGAAAATAATTAGATATGAGGGGTTTTCTGTGAAATTCAATATATTAAAAGGAATTAAAGGAAGTAGAAGATGTTACAGAATACAGAACCTAGAGATAAAGGATAAATAATAATTTTTCATTAGTAGGGCACCTAATGAGCCCTACTACACAGTGCAGAATCCAAATGAATATTTCCATTACTATTTCATGATTTTCTAAACAAAATAAATCTCGCTTGCTAGCATAGCTCCTTGTTTAGTAAATATGTTTTCAGAGTGTCCATTCATTTATGGTTCAAATACATTATTCTTCTTTTTATTTTAATTCTCGATGAAGGTCCAAATGCTACATGTGTATATTCACCTTTGAAACCGGATGTAAGGAATATAGAAAACATAAGTTTACTTCTCAAGTTTATTTTATCAGTCCCAAAATTTGCCTAATTGAGCACAATTGCTAAAATCATAATACTTGAGAATTATAAAACATTAAATTTTATTTTTATTTATTATATTTATAATCCTATGAAAATAAGCTTTTTTAATTTACAAATTGGTATATTACCCAAAATAGCACACATTATTAAAGTATTTCTTTCAGTATCATCAGAATCTACAACTAAAATTTAAAAGTATTCTAAATGGTACTAGGGAAATTGCTTTACCCAAAATCACTGACTAATAAAATCCAGGACAAAGTAATTTATTTGGATTCACATTAAAACAATTTATAAGGTGAGTTCAACATGGACTAAACATGGGGTGCTCTGGAAGATGGTTTACTATTTTTTCAGGATTTTTCTCTATCCTTTTCTTTCCAACAGGAGGATTATACCGACTGTGGCGGTGTTTCCGGATTAAGCCCCTCCCTGTGTGCCATCATCGGAATCCAGTTTGTACTACTTTGGCTTTTATCTGGCAGTAGACACTTCCAGTTATGACCTTCCAAAACCAAATCTGCATAATTAAACTCCAGACCCTGCCAAAACATGAGCCCTCGATTGCATTGATACAGGGTCAGTCATGGGATGAGCAGAACACTAGCTGGGCCCATATCCTGGCATACGTCTAAGGCACAGACTCGCAAGGCACCCACTGGCTGCATGTCAGGGTGCCAGCCCCTTAACCTTGTGTAAATGCTGCATCGTCCATGTCTAACATCAAAGCAAAATTCTATATGTGCTCTACTGGGAAATTCGAGAATTTCTTGTTGCATTGTTGGTGGCTCCATGTAAAAGGGCTCCCCACACAATTATTTATGAATCATACAAATTGTCTTGATTTTGACCTGGAATTTTGACTTGCTGCAATCCTTGTCCTTTTTTTTTTTTTTTTTACCTAGAAAATCTCTAGGGGGGTAAAAAGTTATTTCTTTGCTTTCACTTATTCTTCTGTTAAAAATCATTTCCTGCTTTGAGCAGTTGTTGAAATATATCTATATATGTATATAGATATATATAGATATGTAGATACATGTCTATATATAGAGAGAGAGCATTGATGTAACCTGTTGAAATAGAGATAATGGCTAATTTTCTATTTAAAAAATTGCCATGAATAAAATGCCTTATGAAGAATGGCTTCTCTGCCAAAAACATAACAAATGATGATCAGTTAAGTTTTCGTGGCGTACTGAATTGGTTGTTTGAAAATAAGAACTCATTAAACTAAAGGTGCTTGAGGGTGAAATTTGAATATGTGACGTATTTCCTCATCAATGTAAGCCCTTAATAAGTGCTTCGATGTAATGTTCCTTTTGTTCACAGTAAAGTTGTGTAGTGCTAGCCAGATATTTCAAAATGCTCTAAGAAAAGCTTGTTGGGGGGAGGGAAAAATGTTTTTTCTTGTTATAAATGAACTTTGGTTACCAAGGGTATTTTGCATGATGCTGCTGCTATTATAACTTTCAGTTTGTTTTTCTCTTACTGTAGAGTATAGTCCATTGAAAAGTTAACTGAGTGACATTATTGTTATGTAAGAATCTGAACCTTGCAGTGTAATGCACTTAAGTCATCTTAAAAATGTTGTTAAACTACTCTGAATATACTGTGCAATGTAAATGCTGAATGACTGGGTTAGGTCAATGGTGAAATGGGAATTAACGGATTTTATACAGATTCGTGCTTTTGCCTGAAAACCTATGTACAGATATTTTAAGTACATAAATCAGATTTGACACATTTATTTTTTTGAAGAGTACATATATGTTCTCAGTGAAGATTCATCTTAGGTTTCCTCTTTGTTCGTTTGAATAGTAGCAGGTACAATCCAAAAATTTCTGCTGCTGCTGCTGCTGCTGCTGCTTTTGTCCCTCCATTTTAAATGGTATAATCAATTGACCAAAATATCCATGCAGTTTGATGAGGGTTTTACAATAATCTGAACAAATAGGAAACCTTGAATCTGTATGTATGCACATGAATACTTGATTATGAATATTCAAAATTGTTTTATACAGCCTCATTGGTGAAAATGCTCAGTGTAGTAAGTCAGATATTTCATTATAGATTTACTATGGAAGCTGAATATTATTTATGTTTTTACAAGTTATTTTCAGGAGTAAACAGTATTTGAAGAAAGGGTTAAAACAATGAATGTGTAACTCTAGTTATGGCGAATAATTCTGCTGAAGGCTGGAAGTATGCACATATTTTTTATGGTAAAATGCATTTGTTCTTTTTTTGAACATGCCAAATATCGGTGTGTGTGTATGCTGGAAATGTTCTTATATATCATTTTAAGTCAGATTCTTACTAACATTATCCAGCATGCTTTAATATGCCCCACATATCAAAGATATAACCAATTCTTTAGCATCGCTTAAAAGATATATTTGCTTTGTCTTCAGCTTTGCATACATTTGTAATTCCCTCCCACCACCAATATACCCTAGGTGCCATTTGTGTATATTTCCTTACTTAAAATATTTTTTTTATTTAAAAAAGGGGGGAGGGAGAGAGAGAATCACTTTGCCAACTATTGTTCTAAGAGTTGACATCAGTTACCATTTCTAAGCATTGTTGTGATTTTGTAGTCTCATTTGTAACTGGTATTGACATTTTAGAAAACACCAAAGTGATTTAAAAAACATGGCACTTCTCACTCTAGTAACAATATGTTTAAATCATGTTGTTTATTAATTACTTAAAACTTATCGTCAACTTTTGCTAGACTATTTTAAATCATGAAAGTGTTGGGAAAGGGATATCAAAATATAAAATTATTTTAGTTTGTGTATATGAGTGAAACACATTAAAACAATTGAATTGCTTCCAGCATATAACAAACTTCCTTAAAATTATCTTTAAAATCTATTAAATATATTCCCATGGCTAATGTCACTGAAATAGTATGTTTTTATCAACTAATTATTGTTGTATTAATCACAGTTAAACTTGACATCTCTTGGCAGGGTCCTATTTGATTTCATTTGCCATCAAAATATATTTACATGCACGAGTCTGGCTATGATCCTTTATTTTCTGCTATAAAATATACCTATATATTATGACAACCACATACATGGTAATAAATTGGGTAAGAACGTGTTCTCAGACTAAAATTTGTTCTGATGCCTAATATTAGTCTTCATGTCCTTAGCATACTTACTTTTTTGTAAGATAGTAACACTCATCTCATCAAATTGTTATATTTAATTTAGGATTTTTCTGTTAGTTCTAATTGTTGACAAGAACTTAAATTATAGCCTGTTATAAATATTGATTTTCAAAGATTAAACAGTATAAGAAATCAAGAAAAGAGCTTTTAAACTCTTTTCGCTTATTTAATTTTTGCTATACTCATGCAGCTTAATGTAGGTTGTCATTAAAACAAAATTAAGTCTTGCATTGGTGTTGAGTAACAGAAACAAATTTTACATTAATGGTTTCTTTCTATTTTCTTCATTTGAACAACCAGCATTACTGCCAAACACCAATCGTGGTCCATATTTGTAACAGGTTTTTAACATGACATAGTTAGCAAGTTTGATTGAAGAGATTTTTAGGTCCTGGTCTATAACATTTTAGTATGATCTTTTTTCATGTTTCTAATGCTTGAGGCGTTATTGCTTAACTTGGGGGAAAAAAACAAACAAAAAAAACATAACAGTGTTGCTGCCATTTGTAAGTTTTCTTATAATATTCCTTTTATTAACTTTAAAACTGGCCTTACTGGGTTCAAATAGGCAGTATCCCTTTGAAGTGACCTTTGCAACCCAAGTGTTACTTGCTTATTTGATGCTCTCTTGTATTTTCCATCTCGTTTATATCTTTGTCTCCACCAAAGCTTAAATTCTATGTCTTAATTTAAAACTCTAAACTATTCCACTAATCATGTTAATTGACATTAAAATGTCTAGAAGTATAGAGTTTGATCTAGTAAAACAAAATGGATGGTGTGACTTTTTTTTAAAAGTGTAGAATAGAACAATTATTTCACTTGCTGACAATTTCAAATATTTTATTGTTATCTGGAGCTTGTGTTGTTGTCCCATACCAGAATGTTAATATTGCTAATAATCAGTGTACATTTCTGTAAAGAGCAAACCAATAAAACCAATAAAAGCATCAAATGTTGAACAAAGTTCCAGAATTTCAGAGACTAAGACATCCCTTAACAATAGTTTCATGTACCTTATTTATATAGTTCACATAATTAACTCAAAGAAATTTCACTGAGTCTAATGGGATACTGTCTTGTATAGATGCCAACTGAGTTTTCAGTGTGACCTGACAAGCTGTCCTTTTGTTGTTGTTATGGTGTATGATTGTTGGATCATGCTTTTAAGGATACTTTTATTGAAACGCTCAGTGTGCATCCATGCAAAAGGCCGAGTGGCTTTGTGAACAAAAGATCTTTTCTCCCCTTTATTATGTTCTCTTGACACTTTTGTGGAAATTAACTAGCCTGATAAAAAACATTTTGTAAAAATTTGTACAATACTGTTATAAAAATATTTATAATCCCAGAAAATGTTGTGTTAAATCTTGTGCAAAAACAGTATATTCAGAATAAAAGTTTATCATTTAAAGTCACCACAGTTTGGATTCTTTAATTATTTAACATCCAGTTGAAAGAGACCATATATTTTGTCATAAATATATTTTAAGAAAGCCAACCTTTCTGCGGAGAGAATTCTAGATTGTGGAAATAAAACTTGGGATTACAAAAGTGCTTCTACAATTACAAACTTCAACTCACAAACAAACGTATTTGCAGCTCCTTCAAACAAACAAATGTACTTGCAGCTCCTTCACATAACTCTGACCCTTCTTATATATGCTTTTGCCATGAAGGCATTTAGGAACTTATTAAATCATACTTTGGACTTCCATTGTATAAAAAGAAAAAAGAAAAAGAAATCCTATGCAAAAATGTTTTCATGTTTCTTTAAAGATATTGGGAAAAGAGTTTAAAAGAAACAAGTTATGATATCTGAAATATACATACCTTTTATACATCTGACTAATATTTAAATATTTCTCCTAGCTAATTTGTAGCTGAAACAATTAAGTCTAGTACAAAGCATTGTTTTGTTTTTTTGGGTTTTTTAACTGTTAGGTTTTTCTCAAACTGTTACGTTGATACCAGCTTACCACCTTTCCCCCCTTCCCCCATGCTCACTTAATAATACAGTAATGAACCTGATCCTGAGTGGAATCTAGTATAATGTAAGCCTACTTTTCTTTCTGGGGGCTCCCATAATAGAGCCCTGCACGTGGGAGGAATGTAATATGTGGATACCAATGTTGGTGGTTACTAGAAAATCTGACTTCTAGCTTGTGATCAAGGCATTTCAACAGGAAAAACCCTACTTAAAAGTGTAAGGTAAATAACATTTGTTTTTTGACATCTGGCTTCGGCATCATTCTGTACCAATTTATCTCCTCAATCAATCTTCTTACTCCCAAGAGACCCTCATTTCCTCTATCAGTCATCTCGATGCCATCCCTATCTCTTCTCTAGGGACTTGACTTCATCGGTTCTTCAAGCATACTCAGTCTCCCCTTTCTGCAGGCTGATTTCCCCCTGCCTACAAACATACTCAGAATACCTCTACTTAAAACGAACAGAAATATCAAACATTTACTGCTGCCCACTAGCCCTATTCCTAGAGTTATACACCTAGAATTAAAATATTCCTTTGTACAGCTACAAACGTATTTTGGTAGTCTTACCTTTGCAATGTAGTCAAGTAGGCCTTAGAATTTTAGGCATATTGTTATCTCTGACCTTTAGTTTTGAGCTACCACTGCAATTTTTTAGTGGCTGGGATGAGGTACTAATAAATTCAAGTTCTTGGGTATTTCTTGATTCTCAAATTGTTTTTATCTTAAAGTGCAGATATTCACACAGCACCTCCACAATTTTCTATAAATTGGTAT